AGATGTGGGACACAGACACATGCCCTCTTCAGACGCACAGATGTGGGACACCAGACACATGCCCTCTTCAGACGCACAGATGTGGGACACAGACAAATCAAATGCCCTCTTCAGACGCACAGATGTGGGACACAGACAAATACCCTCTTCAGACGCACAGATGTGGGACACAGAGAAATGCCCTCTCGAGATGCACAGATGTGGGACACACAGACAGACAAATGCCCCCTTGACGAGAGGCAGAGACCTGGGACACACAGACAAATGTCCTCTTGATGAGATGTACAGACGTGGGACCCAGACAGGCGCACTTGCAGGATGCACGGACTCACTATGGACGCCTAGTGGACACACGATGGCCCGGGCTGGCGTGGCCTACTCACCAGCAGCAGGTCCATGGTGTTGAGCCGGCAGAGCTCCCGGTTGACACTGGGCGTGTTCGTGTGCAGCAGCGCAGCCACGAGGCGGGCACCGTGCAGGCGGGCGTTCCCCAGTGGCTCCTCCAGCACGCCGATGGTGGTGAGGATCGCGCTTTTCTACAGCACAGGTTGCCGCCGTCAGCCTCCTTCCCACGCCACCCGCTCTGAGGGGCCGTGGGGTCTGCCTGTGACAGGAGCTGAGGGGATCATCGAGCCCCATGCCCCAGTGCTCCCTGTGCACACCAGCCATGGGGAGAGCCCCGTGGCAGGTAGGGGCGGCCCATCGGAGGGTGGGAGACCCCGTGCGACACCAGAGGCAGAGCCACAGGCCCCCATGAACCTGCCTTATCACTGCTGACCCCACCTTCTCATTACCCTCGTCCTGGGCGTGACCTGCCTCCGTGAAGCTCACTTTCTCACGGGGAGATGGACAATAAGCGTGTTGACAAAGGAGCCACACAGCATGGCAGGTCACGCGGTGCTAAGGAGATGCATCGGGGATGGGCTGGGGGCTATGGTGGGCAGGCAGCAGCCCTGAACGGCATCTAAGGAAAGACTGAAGGGCTAGGGTGCAGGCTCTCTGACGTCACCCTCCTCAGCATGACCACACGCACCCCACCCCGCGCTGCCGATCCAAGCCGCCCAGGCTGGCCCTCAGAAGCTGAGCGCTCCGCACCAACCCTGATTCCAGAAGGGTGAGAGGCATCAGACTCTGCAGAGTGTGGGCCCTCGGCCTCACCAACAGGTATGAAAATGGCCCAGGTGCTGAGGGAAGGCCTGAGGGGCCACTCGCATCTCCTCTGCCCGCCCGCCCCACGCAGCCAACGAGCTCACCTTCGGTGGGCTGAGCAGCAGGCGGTGGAAGTCCCTCAGCCGCGGCTCGATGCCCTGCAGTACGCTGCTGCTGACGCTGTGCGGCCGCTCAGGTCCCTGAGAGAAGGAGTCCACCGAGCCACCGTCTGTCCTGTGGAGGCAGGGGCAGCCGTCAACGGGGCATGCCGCCCTCAGGCCGGAGCCGCACAGCACACAGCCTCCTCCCTGGAGGAGACGCTTTCCCCTTTCCCAAGAGGAAACCTCAGGAGAGAAACTGCCCGCGGCCTCCACACATCGTTTGGTGGCTGGTGTAGATGGAGAAGCGGGAAACATTCAGGAAAAGCTCCGGGTAATGAGTGGAAAGAGAGCGAGAGGAGGCAGTGGCAGGATGTGACACGGTTCCCAACGGCGTGGCTCCCTGAAGGCACCTGGCACACCACATAGCCCACCCTCGTTACTGCCTCTGACACACTCACCGCTGTCCCCACACCTGGGCTGGGAAACCAGACAGGGTGGTCCCATGTCATCCCTTTGGCCTTTTCAAACTGAGAGCTTGATTTATAGACTTTTTCTAGTTATAAAAATAATATATGATCATTATAGAAAAAAGTTTTAAATACACAAAAGGATAAAAAAGTGAAGGTAAACAACTGGCCTATCTGTCTTTCCTCATTTTCATGCCATCCTTCGGAAAGAGCCCAGGCCTCCTCCCCAAACCTGCAGGGCACCAAGGGCAATTACGCTGGGTTTATGAGGGGAGAAAAAACAACATGCTGGATGCTGAACTAAAGAAAATGACTCTCACATTGTAATTCTACTTCTAGATAATAAACAAATATGCATCAGATGCCAAAAAAAGAGAGCCAGAAACTGCTAATAATCTCACTGTCCGGAGGTAAAGCTGATTTCTATCGCTCCTTTCTCGTTTTCTTTTTAAAAGAGCACACTGTCAGTGCCGGGGGCTATAGCAGAGTCCCTGAGGGTGGGAACCAGGGGGCTGAGCACAGAGAGAGGCAACCAGGCAGGGGGCAGAGGGGGCGGAGGGGGCTCATTGAGGCAGCGCCCGGAGGGTGCCGACGCCCTCTTTCAGGGCATACCCAACGGGTCGCCCAGCCCTGCCCAGCCCATGGCCCCCTCCTTCTTGGACGTTCTTCTCCCCAGCCCTCTCAGCCCGTTCACGGAGTTCCTGCACTCCGCTTGTCTCCCCTCGTCAGCCGCTCACCAGGGTCTCCTCCTCGGCTCCCTCTGGCCACCTCGTCTCTGGCCACCCGTGACACCAAGAGCCAACCCGGATGCTCCCCTTCTCCAGACCTGCACTTTCAACAAACTCCTGGAATTTCTACTGGGGCATTCCATAGGGGCCTCAAACTCACACATCCAAAAACGAGTTCCGTTTCTTCCCCAAACTTGCCTGCCTGCTGTGTCCCGCTGCTTAATGGCCCCACTCGACCCTGTGACAAGAGCTGGAGCACCATTCCCCACTCCCATCCTCAGTGTATGCGCCTCGCCAGCCCACCCTGCACACGCCCCACTGCAGCACCTCCGCAGGAACACAGACACATGTGCCAACTGGCCAGAGTGGTAGTCTTGGGGGTGGGGGATTGACACAGTGACCAAAGGGGACTTGCCCTGAACTGTAAAGTACACCTGCGTAATGGGAAACGAGTTAAAGACACAGACAACAGGCCTGACTCGCCACCTGGCCCCCAGCGCCCTCACACGAAGACTCACCCGGCACGTCGTGCCTCCAGCAGAGTCAGCAGGACCTGCGTGCCGTGCACCAGGCAGCTCTCGGTCTGATCCCCGTCGAACATGTTCCCGAGCAGCTGCTCCACGCAGCCCTGCCTGTCAGAGACACATGTGGTCGTTGCAGGGGCACCGGCCACACCCGGAACCAAGAGGGCTCCCACTAGGCCTGACCTCGGGCCTGCCAGGGACACCCTGGGGACCTCCCCCTGCAGCCGGGAGAGCCCGTCACAACAACACAGCTCCAAGTCTGGGCAAGGATGGTGAGGGACGGTGGCACCTCCCGCTGAGGCAGGCCTCGGGTCCCCATGCTGCAGAGGCCCCACCTCCTCGGGCAGCACTCACGACTCCAGGACCGCAAGGAGGGGGTCGGGCTCTGCCGTCTCCTGCAGCTGACCACTCTGGTCTCTGCCCAGCCGGACGATGTCACAGAGTGTCTGAGATGCATTGGACTGCCTCTGCAGGAATAAGAAGCTGGCACCATCAGCAACCACAGAGCAATGGGGTTCTCAGGAGACTGGGGAGGTGGAGGCAGAAGTGCCACTAAAAACAGTCCTCGGAAGGACACTTAACTCCCTCGTACCCAGTTTCTGCAAAGGTCCCAGACCAGCTAGTTCATGTCGAAGACACCTGTGTCTGCCTTTCCCCTCATCAGAGGTGGATCTGCTGACACCTTTTAGCTGTGACTACCCCCAGGAATTCCACAGGGGCTCACAGTGGTCAGAAATGCTATGCAGTGGTTGCTCTGTACTTCTGACGGCTGTTCCGAGGGGTACCGTAAACAAGAGCATGTCCCTGACACCGGGTTTTACATTTAATAGCAAATCACTGTTGTTGTGGTTGGTAGGCACTGTCCAGTTGGTTCCGACTCACAGCGACCCTACAGGACACAGCAGAACTTCCCCATAGAGTTCCCAAGGAGTGGCTGGTGGATTTGAACTGCCGACCTTTTGATGAGCAGTCGAGCTCTTAATGTCTGCACCACCAGAGCTCCAGGAAACCACTACTCATCTTCGTCTGAGTCGTGAGGACTGAGAAAATGAGGACGCTGCTGCAGAGGATGTACTTCTCCCAGGAAAGTGGGAACACAGCCCTGTGACTGCAGGCAGCGTGGGGTCTCCCCGCCATGCACATGCGGGCCACGGGACACTCTGCAGAGAATAACCACAGCCGGCACCCCCAGGGAGCACAGCTCCATGTCCGACAGAGGTGAGAACACCCAGGACACTAACATGAACGCCTGTACGACTATTTTTAGGGAAAACAAGAGTCGCCAGGCTGGCTTTGTGGCAGCATGCCTGCCTCTGGATAGCTATTGACAGGCGAGTCAAGAGCTGGTCAGCCCCACAGCGCTCATATTGGGCAGCCAGCTTCCCTAGTCATGGAGAACAGAAAATAACCTGCTAAGTTTGGAGCAATCTGATACTCAGCCACAGATAACCAATACAATCCTGTTGTAATTGTTTTTATAATATGTACGCATTACTTTTCAGTTTAAAAAGTAGCCCAGAAGTCCACCCCTGATTAGGGAAGAGAAGTGTTGAGCTGGCCCTGGCCCACAGGAGCAGTGAGCAGGGGCCCCATGGCACAGTACTCACATCCTCCTCCTGACCCGGGTGGATCAGCCCCACGAGTCTCTCAATTATCTTCTCTTCATTAAGCCACTGAAAGGGAAAAACACCTGCGTCACAAGGAGGCGTCTGCTGCTTTCACCTGTCCCTGTCAGCTCTCACTAAAGGGAGGGAGCCCTCAGCGCTGAGACCCGTGCATCCAGCCCTCTTGGACCAAACTAGCATGGATGACTGTAGCTGGGCACTGCAGGGTGAGCCAGGTGAGAACAACATCTCACGGCTCCTGAGGAACCTCAGGCCCCAAAGAACGAGAGGAGGTTCCACAGCCCCCCCACAGCACCTCACCCCTGGCCCACGCCCCGCTCCCCTTTCTCCCTGGTCCCCATTCCCGCTCAGCGCCCACAGGAGGGGCGCTGCACAGCATGGCCGCAGACTCGTGGGATTTAGCCAGCCATGGCCCCTTGCGCGCTGGGCCATGTTAAACTCTGGGTTAAGAAAGGAGCCAGGAGGAGGCCACAGAGAGAACTGCCAGTACCAGGCCCCTGGGGGGCCGCCCTTCCAATGTCTCAAATGCCAGGTAGAGACCGTGCTGCTACCACAGGTCTGCGGAGGCCCACCAGCATCAGTTCCTTCGCTCTGGGCAGGACTTACAGCAGTTTGACTTGGTAACACCCATTACCTCCTGGTTAATCAAAACTTCTGACTGAGAAAGTCATATCTTGATTAATAAAGGCACAAAAGTGAATCTATTACTACTCAGCAGAAGTAGCCTGGCTGTGGATTCCGTCTCTCAGGACTCCACGAGGGGAAGAGACAACAAAAGGGCTGTAGGTAGGTAACGAGATGTGTCTACAGGAGCAGGGGAGCAACGCCACGTTTACCGAATCCTTTGGGCAAAGCCTAGGAAACGCTCTTCTTTTGTTCTAGGTTTCCTACTGGCAAACTCTGGGTGTTTATCCAAGGCACAGAACCCCTCTCGTGCACACCAGCACTCACTGAGAACGGGGCTGCCTCGGGTGCTTGGTCATCCCGCAAACGCTCTGTGACATGCAAGCTGTTGTTCCCTTTCGGAGGGAAGGGCTGCTGTGGGGCTCAGCAGGAGCAGACAGTCCTGGAAAGTCACACCAGCCCTGAGCACCCCAAGTTTTCTAAGGATGCATCATTCTGAGATCAAACACTCCCTACTGGATATTACATCAGGGGCCAGCAAGGGCCAGTGGGTCAAAGTTGCCCACTGCCCCCTGTTATAAATAAACTTTTATTGGAACACAGCCATGCTCATTCGTTTCCATACTGCCTCTGGCTGCTAGGCCAGCAAAATCTAAATGCTTACCACTGGCCCTTTGCAGAAGGGTGTTGGCTTGGTCCTGTGCTACCGGCTTAGCATTCCCTCAACACCTGTCTGCTTACGGCCTGATAATTCCAGGGTTTAGACATGTCAGCACTGAGGGGACAGGAACAGTTCATCCACCACACAGAACCCTCCCGAAGGTCTTGAAAAAGAACGTTGAACCTAAATATCCCATATTTACCAGGACATACCCCATCAGGGAGGATGGCTTTTTTTTTTCCATTACTGGGAACCAAAGTTGCCAAATTACAACCACTGCTAATGAGTTACCATACAACACCCACTGCTACCGCGATACCGCGTAACACCCACCGCTACCGCGTTACCGGGTAACACCCACCGCTACCGCGTTACCGCGTAACA